CTGACCCTTGGGGCACTCCACTAGTTACATTAGTCTCCATTACCTTTCTCTCTCATCCAAAACAGTTGTTTCAAATAATGTCAAAAGAGCGAGACACAGTTGTATATAAAATGCACTACTACAGATCTAGTGTGCAGAAAATGAAGATTTCTATCTTGAAGATCTCTAGTGTGAGAGAAAATGTGTGAAATGAAGATCTCTAGTGTGAGAGAAAATGGAGATTTCTGTACCCCTTTGATATTTTTTGCAGCGCACATTTATTATATGAAAATTAATTCCATATATTTGAAAATCATGTCCAAAGTGTGTGACTTGAGTGACCAAAAACTGTTGATCTGTATTGTGATTTTCGACAATGCACAACCACAAAGTACAGAGATCACAGGGTGAAACAGTTTACTTCCTCTTCTACACTATGGGACTCATAAAGAGAATTTACCCTTCCTATTCATTATCCCTTCCATGGTTACTAGTTAATGCACTCAAAATGTAATTTACTGCTTGCATGGGCCATCAGTAAATTATTTCTCATAACCGATAGGGAAGGAATCTTGGAGGATTAATTGCGTATCTGACTCTTGTTCATGAGACAGCACAGTTATATGCCAAGGACTGTACTATGAGTCAGCCTTTGGAGTTAGAACTTCTGCTATGCTTGAAGGGCATGATTTTGGGCAAAAGCAGAAATACAGTGACATGGATTAGATGGGAAGTATTACTGTACATAATAAAATTTCAGGCTCATTATGTAATCAAGGACTCTGAATCAGACTAGTTTTGAGAACTGTGGGACTTTACCTTGTATAACCAAGTTTATAAAATAACAAAAGAATAATTCCCTTCCTCCAGCACTGTGAACATCCTTACACCAGAAGGATAACTAAAGTCAAGTCAAATGTTGCAGAGAAACTGCAGGAATTTGATGGGAGTAGGTTTCTTATTAGGACATATGCCCTCCTCCAAAGCAGACACAGGGTCCAAGAGAACTGAAATGCTTTAATTAAATAATAATGGCTAAAAAAGTAGGATGTCATTGATTCTGTAAAGATAATTTATGTCCTGATTTGAAAAAAAGCTCTATTTCAGTAACAGAATCCCCATGCAATTGATTGTGCCTTTACTTTTAGAACAAATTTGAAATGAACTTAAAAGCAGAAAATTCACAAATGTTAACAGCTCCACTCCGATTAAGGAATATGTGAATTTCATTCAGTATTGATTTTTCAAGTGTGTCAGATTGTTGAATAGAGTTTGTTTTCAAAAAGTTCTGTTTATTTCATTCTTTAGCCTTCATCTGCATAAACTGTACTGATCTGTTTATTTCTTAAGTTTGGTGTTCAGTTTTAACATTGTTGAATATTAAAGACATGGTGGAACATACAGATCAATCCACTCTGCAGTTTTGTGATAGCTGGATGAGGAAACAGGATTTGAACACAGTACCATTATATACCTGTTGGTTTTATCCTTTCCTCATACAGGAAAATTACTACAATTACCTGCTTTGCATAACAAAATGACCCAATACCGTACTAAGCACATAATAATAATGTTATATTCTTCAGGGACTATGATACAAACAAAATCAATTATATGTATGCTCAGTATGTCAAGAATACGATGGAGCCTCTCAACATCCCAGATGTCTGCAAAGACAGAAGATTTCCCTGGACAGTAAGTAAAATAAGCTTAGATTTGAAATTCAGAAACGGAAGATGTTTTTCTGTTTCCCTTTCAAACCTTTTTTGTTTTCCTCTTATTATTTCTATTGATCTAATGGCCACAGTTAGAATTACACAAACACAGTGGTACATTTGCTTGATAAAATTCATTACCAGTGAAGAAATGGTACAGTACTCATACACAGTGAGCCAGGTGGCCAAGGGAGGAATTTATCCCTACAGCCATTATTTTAAAAGCCTAACATTTATTTGTCAATAAATAGACAGTGTGAGGTGGAGAGCTTGCAGTATGCTCTGTGGGAAACATTTAAGTGAGGAGCCTTTGGAGGTTTTCACAGTAATCTTCTCTAGTTTACTGTGAGTGTTGGGAGGCTCTCAGAAGTTCCTTCCCTTTTATCCTCTCTTTTTCCTTTGTGTTTTGGCAAAGACCAACCTTATAGATGAAAGTTCTTTGCTGTTATGCAAAGAAGGAACAACTTCACTCTTGTTTAGGATCTTCTGCTTCACACTTCATGAAGTATCTGCATGTGGTATGGTACACTACTGCACACACAGATAACGGGAGAGTTAGGAGGGAAGGTCACTTGGCAAGACTCAGAATACAGTCAGGCTGCCTTCAAAGTCATCATCAACAAAAAGCAAATGTGTAGTTCTGTATTTTCCTGTCAATGCAGAAATTAGAAAGATGTCTGCTCTTCCTATTATATTTAACCCTGTCAGCTAGAGAGGCACAGGGAGCGGGTAATAAGGAGGAGAGGAGTTATTATGATCAGCAGATTTAGTTTTTAGCTAACTCTTTCTTCTGAGATGCACAATGTGAAAAGGTCAGAAAATACTGTTCAATGTCATTGTTCCAGTAAGTGGTAAGAAGGTGCAGGCTCATGGTTGCTTCCCTTTTTCTCTGTGCAAGGGTTCATGGATGTTCTGGAGTAGGTTTATATGAAGGATTGAGCAACAAAGGAATTGAATGCTCACCACTTGCAGTATAGGGCCCAGAGCTATCTCAACTGCAGGAGCAGAATACTGTATTACATCAACAAGATGTAATTACAAGATTGTAATACAATACTGTATTACAACATCAAAGAAAGAGATTACTATTTTGAAGATATTTTAAAATAAAAGGAATACTTTGAGAGTCATCCAAATTGTTTGTCTGAAACAGGCCTTGTACTTTGTCACTAAAGAGTTCTTTTGCATTTTTCCCTGGAATCTAGATGACTTATACCTTATGCATGTGAAAGAAACTCATAAAAAGAAAATAAGAGGACTGCTAGAAGGAATTTTGGATAATGTATTTCAATATACAGTTGCTGCATCTCCACCACTGTGTAGGAGCAGACTCTTTGGAAGACTGCAGAATGTTGACCTAGCTGATGGTCATTTTCCTACCTGTCGTTCTTTGGATCATAAATTGGTCTCCACTAAGGCATGTTTCATTGTGTTGGTCGGTTAATCAAGGCACCTCAAATAAAACAAGAGTTTATAAAAATTTTAGTGCCACAAAATACAGTTAGCTAAATACCAGGTAGTTACTCTTGGTTTACGACATCTATTCTTTACATTGCTGTGTTGTAAGTAAGGGGACATGCTGGAAAGGGAAGAGGTCCATTCCTTTTACAGCCCATCACCTGACCATAGTAAAATGTTGTCCTAAAGCCCAGCTGATCTCTTTTCAGCTGCACTGAGTGGAACACTTTGTCTTGGTGCAAAGTGGTACCTTCTAATAAAAGCAGCTACTATAAAATTAGCATTTTTTAGCACAATTACACAAGTCACTGTAAGATGAAGACTAACACATCTTTACCTGTATTATTATTCACCAAAGCTTGTATCAGATACAACGTTTATTATACTGTCCAGGGAAAGATGTGCAAACTCTTTAAAGACATGGTTGCTGTTTGAAGGAGTACGTAAACTAATAGCTGCAGACCCCAGCTCTACAGCATTTTCACTTCAGCCACTTGAACATCAGTCTCTAAAACTGTAACTTTTTTTTGTTTCTTTAACAGAATGACGATGCAGAAAATGTAAGTCAGCACATAAGGAGTTTGCTGTGTACACCAATAAAAAACGGGAAAAAGAATAAGGTGATAGGTAGGTATCTTTACAAAAAGTATTTTTATACATTTCGTAGACATATTTCTGTGCTCCATGGTAAAATCTCAGTATCATGGAATCTCAACCCAGGGGTAAAGATCCTCAATTATCAAGTTTTCAATTAATAAGTCTACTGCAGCCCTGACTCTAAATTGCTTAACTAAGAAGTTACTAAATATCTACAACACCCTTGTAATACTGCACCATTTTTGTAGCTCTGCATTCAAAAATTTTCTGTAAGTAAAATTATTTTCATTGCTTCCTGTTCAGAGGGTCAGTTACCACTCTTGCTTGTGTAGATCTTTTAGAAAGCATTGACAGAAAGATGTAAATCAGTAAATAAGCTCTTCAGGCCTGAGCTGTCTGTAATGCTGGACTTTTATGGCACAGTGGAGGCAGGTGGAAAGCCAAGCTGAACTGCACAGACATTGGCAGTTTCCTCAAATGAGATTCAGCTACAGGAAGATTTGTGCATTAGAAGGCTGACTGCTGTGCAATTTTGATGCTGGAAATTGCCCTTTGAGGGTGCCTGCTTCTATTTGTGGATTACATTGGGAGCCTACAGTACTATTTCCAGACACTAGCTTAAGTGTAAGCTAGCCAGTGTAAACACCTCTGCAGCATCCCCTTTGCTTTTTCTAGAACTACTTCTATTTTAAAGAGTGGCCATAGTACCACTGGTTTCCTGGGGTAACATTTTCAGAAGTAATTTGACATCACTTAGGTCCACATAGGCCTAGATGCTTATGGAAATTTAGAAGCCTAGTTATCTCTACTTCCCCAAAAATATTTATGTGGCCATGGTCTGGCTCCTCAAGGATAAGTATACCTCTACTTAGTTTTGAGGATCTGACCAGGAAATAAGCTTAAAGAGCTTGAAGTCTTTTCGTGAGTTTCAGATTCACCTTAAACAAAGGGATGATGATGCTTTTGGAAATTACCAGGACTTCCCTCTCCCATGAAGAGTAGAATGAGTATCAGCCTGCTTTCCTGGCAGCAGTAAGTACCATAAGCTGAGAGCAGATCTGGCCTCCTGACCTATGGTGGCAAAGTATAAGGCATTCATGTTCTGTTCACACATCCCGTGTAAATCAGGAGTAGCTTTACTGATGCAAGAAAATCTAAAAATTGTTAAGAGTGTTCTGGAAGCATCATGCCAAAGTCACTTATTTAACCAGCCAAAAAGAAGATATTTAATATCTTTTTAATATCTCTTTCTGCTGCAAAACGTTCTTCATAAAACATAAAGTATACAAACTGGTCCACAGTAGCAACTTATAGAAAATTAAGACCTTTTCACTTAATAATTATTTTCAGAATTTTAATTTGCAATGGTTATTTTGACTGGGATAATTATTTGCAGTTTGCCAGGAAAAAGTTAGCTTTTATCCTCAAATCTGTTAGTACTTACACACATGAGACTGAGAAAACATTTGGACTCACTTAAGATGACAATCACTCCCAAACTGTTTTGGCCAAAACAATGTATACTTACAATGCAGCTACTTTAATTAATATTCTGATTTCTTAGCAGAAACTGCTATCCACGAGGCAAAACTAAAGTGAGGTATATATGTGAATTTCCCTCTGCTTAAAATGGTGTTGGGGATTTAAGCTGCAACAAGGTTTGGTAGAAGTTACCAGTCAGACCTTTCAATGGCGTGTGCACAGAAAAGTCCAGAAATTCTTAACAGAAAATTAACAGATGCAACTATCGACAAGTTTGAACCTAACAAGATGAATTCAATGAGATACTTTTCAGTGACTTCAGTAGTCTTTGGAGCAAGCTGCAATTCAATCACATCCTCATAGAATCAGCGAGTAGACTTCAACTTTGTGCCTCAACTTGGGTATTCTCTGTTTAGTTAATTTATTTTAAAAAAATCTCCAGTACTGACTCAAATAAGGAAACGGAAACTCTGTGTATCACTGTTCTGACTTTCATAGATGTTCTTTTGGCATGGTTACAAAAATTTAATTAGCCTCCAAAGGACAAACTGTCTTTAGGGATTAAATCAATCTAAAATACTATTAATAATAAAAGTCAGGATGAAAACTACCCTAGAATTTCATAAGATAATCAAGTCTGTAAAGCCCTACATTTTTGTTTTATAAATCCTAATACATACTTTTGAGTCTATTAAGTAATATATAATGGTTTAATATTTATTCTGTCATACAGTGAAATTACCCAAAAAACTTCAGGGAAAATTCTACAGCACTCCTGTGTATCACTTTTATGTGTACTGGTGGTTTGTACTGTAAGCTAAACTGCCCTAGAGTTAATTTTTCTCTTGATGTTCCATACAATAGGTGATATTTTGGCAGTTCTCTGTATTTCTTCTTTTAATTTCTGTATCCTGGCATAGGGGTTTGCCAACTTGTGAATAAGATGGACGAAAACTCAGGCAAAATAAAGGCTTTCAACAGAAATGATGAACAGTTCCTGGAAGCATTTGTCATCTTCTGTGGCTTGGGGATCCAGAATACACAGATGTATGAAGCTGTAGAAAGAGCCATGGCCAAACAGATGGTGACATTAGAGGTGAGCTCAGAATCTATGTGGTCCTTAATTAGCCCAAAACAGATCCTAATTTTCTTCAAACCCTGTCTGTTCCACACAAGTGCACCTACTCACATGGATATTGAACGGAAATTGTTCTCCCCCGGGAGAGCAGCATTTGGCCTGTTGCATTGCACAGGAATTTTTCTGCTTGTTTCCGTATCTGCCAACAGACTATTTTATTTGGTATTGTGTTTTAACTGTACTCATAAGATTTAGTGGTGACCTGAATGTATCTTTTCCTCTACATGAAGCTACACATTGGCAACACAGCTGGTTTGTTCTGTAGCGTAGGAAGAGGAAATGGTTTGGGGGATTAGGGGCTTCCTTTTCTTGTCTGAGGTTTTCTGTGATGATTTTGGCTCAGTCTGTTAGACAAACCGGTTTGTGGAGTAACAGCAGCATTATTGTAGGTTTTCAGCAATTTCCTCAGACTCCATCAAACCATACCAAGATGAATATCATCTGGTCTCAGCCTTTGAATTGAATACTGTTAAATTGAATAGCTGAAGAGGGCTTTAGTCTGAGAAGGTGAATTACTCAGAGGTGATAACTTGAAGATGAAAGTGAAAAATTTGTAGACTTTGGATCTCTTAATATTTGTTATGTAAACAGAGTGTTTGCAGAGTTTCTAAAATGGGGATTATGTACCCTGTAGTCTCTAAAAGAAATGTTACAACTCTCAAATAAATCTGTATTAAGTCAGCATAACTAAAAAGGTGATAAAATCATTGTCAAAATCATTTCAGTGCTTTAAAAAAAGAACTTTTTGTTTATATGGCAAATCAGCAACTCTCTCTCCTGCTATGACATTCCATAGATAATGTAAGAAGTCCAAGCAGATTATAGGTTAGTATATAAGATGGCTTCTTTACAAAAAAAAGTCAGTCTCTAGTTGCTAAAAAACTCCATAGCTTTTTCATGTCCTGTATTCTCAACAGCTAAAAAATATGGGCTTACTTTAATTTAAAACAAACATACTGTCTTTCAGACTTTTCTGCCAAGTTTCAGTTAGGGCAAAACTAACTTTTATGGCTGAATAGACTCCTGAAAGGATGATTATGGCAACAATGTCAGGCTCATAATTATAGTTGTTACATGTATTGTTTGTCTTTGAAAGTGGGGCATGAAAACTTTCAAAAGAGAAAATGAGAGTTCTTTACTCTTTTATAGAAACTATTTATGTTTTCTTGGCCTAATTATCTCAAGAAGATTCTGTGCTGTGGGAGATTTGTGGAAGCTGCAGATACCTCCTCACATGCTTTCAGAGAGCTCCCTTAAAACCAGTGCAGGCCCTGCGTGGACACTAGATTTCATCAGCAAATACAATGCAAAGCAATGCAGTGCAGCTGCAAGCTGAAAATTCTGCTTTAGGAAATGTATCTTTTTATCACATTGCTCTTTTGTTTGTACTAAGGGCTGCTTTTCTCTTGCTGTAGGTTCTCTCATACCATGCTTCTGCTGCTGAGGAGGAAACGAGGGAGCTGCAGGTAACAGCGGTAATTGAATTTTTTACTATTACGTTAGAAATACTCCATTAATAGAACAACAAAGAGCAGTCCTTTACACAAGATGTGACCCCTAAACATGCAGAAGCACATCTTCCATAAATAAAAATTATAGTGAGGCTTAAACTGATCAGTTCCTGAGTTGATTCAGTACATCACATAAAAGGGAAACATTACAATGCCTACAATGAGAGATACGGGTTGGCCAGAGAGCTGCAACTACAGGAGAACCAAAAGTGTACTGACTGTCATTCGCATGAGTTTAAGTGACAGTGACAGCTGATGCAATGTTGGTTATCAACTCACAATGATTAAGTATTTCAGAAGCAATATGTTGAGAACTCTCCTTTCTGCAGCTGAGTCTGAATGTTGTGTATTTTATATCTTTGGTACATTTCAAGCATCCCAAGTATGGTACAGCCTTATGACCTTACACAGAAATTCTGTATTGTTAATGGAACAATTTTTTTATGGTTACTTTTCTGTGCAATGTCCTGTTCTGCTCATATTTAATACTGTACTTAGAAGCCACTGCCTAAGGAATAACTACAGCTATCATTTCAAGTGTAGTTCAAGGCATGGCCTGTGCTTTGTCTCCAGTTCTCTCTCTTGGAGCAGATGTTCTGGGCAAGTATTGTCCTCCTTGCTGTGCAAAAGAAAATGGGAGGAATGGGGAGGAAGGTAGACATAAGGGACCACAAGCTGTGTAGTATGGGACTGAACTGGACAAGTAAAGTGCCACGGAATAAGGCTCAAGACTAAGGATAATTCTGGAATAGTTAGTGTCACACGGATTTTGAACCTCAGTCCTACCACACTGTTGCTTGTTGATAAAGGGGCACTAACAAGACGAGCATGCTACACATCTCTGATGGTTTCTGTTCAAGGTTTGCGTTGTAATCTCTGTGGTTACATCTTTACTGCTAAATAAACCAGAACCACGATAACCCTAGCACTTAACCAGTGTCCACCTCTACTGATTAGCTGTCCATGTGCTTCCTAGCACAATCCTGGCCTATGTCAACCACCTCTTTATAAGGCTATACCAGAGCACATAGTACCAGCGCACATAGCACAGGCCATCTCCAATTGGCAGTGTGGATGAATGCACTAGATTTGGCTTCTCCTAGCCTACCTCTAGTCTCGCAATGCAATTTGAGCATCAGAGTAATGCAGTTTGAGTAATCAGATTAGTTCGGATCATTTGAGCTGAAGAAAGAAAACAGGCACTAAAAGTAAGGATATCTTGGAACTTCAGGGCACCACATGGAGCCCAAACCAAACCATGAGCAAATCTTGCTCTTTAAATATCTGTTGTCAGCTTGTACCTTTGAGATACAGGATCATTGCTGTCTTTTTTCCTTTGTCTCTACTCATGAAGTAGAACACAACTAAATGTTGCAACTATCAACCTCTGTAATTTATTTTTTCTGAAACTATTTGCTGTTTCTGTGCATTGATAAAGGTAGCAGTACTTGAAAAGAGATAGGGCCAAGTGTGTTTCAAGATCAAGTCATTCATGTTACAGACATCAGTAGTCCTATTCCTAGTCTTAACCTAAGTCTTGGATAAGTAGTGACAAAAGCAGTACCTGCTACCCAAGTGGAGAAAGCTGACTTACTTCCTTAGCTTCTTCTCTTAGTCATGGAACAGAGACAGGTGATTCTAGAAAGCCATTCAGAGCAAGTGATCATTTAAGTACCGATTCAGGGAAATATGGAAGTGTGGCAGTTTCCTTCTTCTGTAAATCCTTCTTTCTTTGCAGTCAAGCTGTCAGCAAGGTGTAGAGAACTTTATTTCATTTTTTAGTTCGTCGACAAAGACTTTCCAAAAACTTCTATGAAGTGCTTGTTCTAGTATTTTCCCCTGATTAAGAGTAACCTCTACCACATTACTGGGATGCCTTTGTGTTGACTATTCCCATCACCAAATCACAGAAAGACCTAAGTTCTGAAATCAGCATGTGGAGCAGCTAATATAACCTCTGTGCCTGAAGTGATACACAGATGTTACTCATAGTTTATTCCAGGATTCAGATTGTAGAACTTAGATTTAATGTGTAGAGATGTGCCTCAGGTGCCTAAATTACAGTGACATAGCAAGTCACTGTCCCTAAACTGGACCCTCCCTGGTGGCTAAAGCTAACACATTGCATATTACAACTTTCGTTCCACTACTGAGGGTTGGCAGATGAATTGCAATTTAGTTGGCTTCAGAAATACATTAGTTTTTATTTTCCATTCATATTTTATCAAGCCAGTCAAAATAGATTAAAACTATTTTTCTGGCTTCACCTTTTTGCAATTTGTTTTATTTTGCTTCTAAATAATCTGATAGTACAGAAAAGAGATGCTTCATCAGGCAGTGATACTAGATGATCCTTGTAGGTCCCTTCCAACTGGAACTAAACCTGTTCTGTTCTGTTCTATTCATTATCAGCCTTGCATAATAAGGCTGGAGCCAAAATTTTTGGTTTCATTATCATTTCCACAAACTACAGAATGTCATATTGCATTAGTCACCTCCTTTGAGCCTGGATATTGTCTGCAACCTGTGTTTTATCATACAACACAAATGAAACAAAACAAAACTGGTTATGGTTGCCGCTCAGTTACCACAGCGGTCCCACATTTTCCTGAGGCTTCTTTTTGCTGCCAGTGTAGTTATAGAAACCATTTTTGTTGGCCTTCCCATCCCACACTAGTTCCAACTCAAGCTGAGTGTTGGTTTTCCCAACTTCATACCTGCACACTTTGGTAATGTCTCTCTATTCTTCCCAGGTAGCCCATCCCCACTTCCTCCTTCTGTGTACTTCATTTTTTCATTTGAGCTCACTTGGGAATCCATGCTGGCCTTTTACCATGCTCACTTGACTTCCTGCATGTCAGAATGGACTATTTTTGTGCCTGAGGCTTTCCTTGAAGGTAGTGCCTTGGCATGTGAAATAACTATAAGCTTTATCTGTAGTTTTTTTCAATCATAATAGAAGACAAATTTTTTTTTTTTTACTTAACCAGGTAATAAAATGGAGTCACTAATTAATTATTCACTGTTAATTACTATTATCACAATGCCAATAGTAAGCAACAGTAATGAAAAAGTAACAGTAAAGAAAAGAGCTGTGCAAAGAGGGGGATGAATTTGCAAGTTTTCTTCATTTCTTGACTATTTCATGCTGTTTATAATATTCCTGAGGTGGGAAAATTGAGCAAGAGATTGTAGTTTGGTCAGTGCTTATAGAAGCTGACCATAGCTCAATAACTCAAAAGTAAAATAGCTTATGAACTTTCATGTGTAAAATGGAGGGCCGATAGCTCTACTGGCTTCAGTAAGTGAAATAGGAAGTATCTAATCCAGTTACAAAACACTTGAATAGCTGTAGAGTGTAGGTTTTTATGTCTCAGCTGAAATGAAACATATTGTTGTGGCTTTCAAAGGCAGGAGATCAAGGAAGGGAAAGATCAACTATGGATGAAGTCAGAACACAGGCATGAGGTGTTCTGTTGGGCTCCTACTCCTTCCAGCCCATTTCCTCATGAACTACCAGACTGCAGTTGGTTTTTCAAAAGTATGTCATTAGAGCTCTTGAATGGTTGCATTATTTTCAACTGAGCATACAGGCCTGGTGGTTCTTTCACATGCTCATAGGTGAAATACCACATGAATCCAAGCTGAAGGACACAAAATTACTGGTACAAGAAATGTGTAAGAATGCTGGATATTTTTTTCCGGTGTAAATACTGTTTTTCATAATCTTTCATGACTTTCCAATTCAGACACACCAGGAAGATAACAGCAAACATATTGAACAGAGATTGGTACATGTAGTTATGGGGAAAGCTGATTTGAATGCTACATGTAATAATACCGCAGATTATGACACAAGCTTCCTTTTGAGTGTCTCAGCCTTCTAGGACATAGTTCCCCATGCTGGAGAAATGTTTTTCCCTAGAATTAGAAAGAGGAAGATAAAACACATAGGTTTCTTTATTTCACCATTTCATTTTTACCTGATTTTCTTTTAAGCCGCACTCATATGGAGGTGAAACAACTGTAAAGAAGTAGCACTGAGAACTCTGCCTTTTATAGTAATGAAAATCTGATACTAATTTTTGTTCTGTAGTTTAAAACTTGCGATTTATGTTTTCAGCAACCTTAACATCTGTGTTTCAAAGGGCAACTAACACCTATACTCTGAATTTTATAACTAGAAAAAGTGGAGTTGTATACATAGGGTTGTAATACATGTAATTCATGAAGATATTACTGATAGTAAAAGTTACAGATTTTAAAAAGCATACAGTTGGCTTTTTTTGTCTACTTTATAATTTCAAATTTCACATTGAAGGTTTATGATTGTACTCAAATTACATAAAAAAACATTGTCCAAAGATTTTAAAGATTACTGATCACAGGTGAACCCTAATTTTTCAGGTTTCTAGTCCTGAGAAAAGCTCTGGTTGTGGACATGTTCTGACCACCACAGCGCTGAATACAGATTTTGTTAGAGATTCTTTGTTTTAACTAGTTTATAGTGACATTTCTTTCCTCATCATTTTACCTCACCATCTGTAACTTCCATAGTTTCAGATTTTGATGTCTGCACGTAAATAAAATCAAGCATGTAACTCCAGTGCTTTATTTGCCCAATGTCTCGATTTTATACATACTCTTAGTTACAATTTGCTTTAGGTGATTCAGGTAACAGACTGTTTGACCAGGTGATCCTTTCCTTATTCTCTTGATCTCTGGAGAACTGTCTGTTACATCAAAACAAACAAGAAAGGCTAAGGAAAGATAAATGAGAAGTAATAATCAGGTTTCAGTATAATGTGAAGGTAAAAATTAGTATCTCACTACTCTGTTGAAAAAGCAGATATTTATGTTATGCTTTCTCTTTCCTAGTGCTAAGTTGTGTTCTCTTATTCATCTCTAGGCTGCTGTAGTACCATCCGCACAGTCTCTCAACCTAACTGACTTCAGCTTCAGTGATTTTGAGCTATCAGATTTTGAAACAACGCTGTGTACAATTCGAATGTTCACAGACCTCAACCTGGTGCAAAATTTCCAAATGAAACATGAGGTATGAATGGTGTCAAATGCTACTCCACATAAAGAGACAACTTGATTGTTAGAAATTGGGAGAATATTGAAACAAGCCTACAATAAATTGAATTGAAAACCTGTATTAGAGCGTAGGTAGTAAACTGGGAAGGTATTTAAAGTGGGCAGTACTGGGGTTTGTCCTTAGTTTGCTTCTACTGAATGATTAATAATTTGGTTAATGGACTGTAAAATGCTTTTAGAAAACTTGGGGAGTGGAAGTAGAGAACTTAGTTAAAATTCAAATGAGTTTGAAAATTTATAGCAATATTTCAAAACCAGCAAGAATAAATATATAAAGACTAACAAAAATAGTCAAATGTATAAATTCAAAATAGTAAACAAAAGAATAACTAGTGGTAACAGAGAAAAACGTTTCACAGCTACTAATACCAGAAACTGCGTAAAAGTCTATAATGTGCCATAGTAGCAAAAAGGGGCAAATTTCATTCCTTACTGACAGAGGAGTGGTATCTAAGGCCCATGGAGTCATTATACTGTAGCTCATATCTGAAGGGACACACAGAGATACAAATTAATTTTAAAAAATAACAATTTAGGAGACTGATAAAAGTTTGAATTAATTAATTTCTCCAGAAAACATAATACTGAGGAAGGAGATGACAGCAACTTTTCAGTAAGTGAAAGACCTATAAAAAGGACAGTGCCCATATAAGGTGGTAGAAGTAATTAGCCTAGTCTTTCACCCCCAGAAGATTAGATTAGGCATTAGGAGGAACTTTATAGTTAATGGAGATTGTAAAGACTGAAACAGGTTACTTATGTGGGCTGTGGAAATTTCCCTGGAGGTTTTTACCATTAGATCTAGTTGTAGCTATGCATCTGTCAGAAGTGATCTAGACAGGCATTCTTCTGCTCCTGGCTCTGGAGGAAGAGTAGAAAATCTCTTGGGCCTCTTCCAGCTAATATACGATTTCTATGTGTAAAAACCCGCAATTTTAAATACTTTAATTTTTGCTTTATGTATTTTTCAACAAAACTAAAGTTCAATATCAAAATGCAAGATTAATACAGAGGACTCCGTAGGCAAAAAAAAAAAATTAGTAAGAGAAAACAGGTATTTATTTTCTAGATAACAGTTTATAGACCATGTTAGATTAGTGGAGTTTAAGGGCAGAAAGGACAGCTGTATTACCTAGTCTGATCTCTTAAATATCCTAGTACTTAGTTTCACCTTTGTAGTAAGGCCAAGAACTTGTACTTCCTTAAGGAATATGTCCCAGTAGGAGAGAGGGTGTTATGTAGCCCAGTAGTGGGTGGACTTCCAGTTCCTAGAGGAGCAATTGTAATAGAATTGCAAAAACAAAATAACATCATGACAATAGACTCATAATTACACATCTCAATAGAAGCAAAAAAACACTGACAGCTTTGAAGCTTCACTTTCATCTTTCCATACTAGAGCTAAAGAAAACTGGCAGTAGCCCAGTACCCCTTTTTAACAGTGGAAAGTCAGAGAATTCTGCTGCCTTTCTCTGTGCAGAAGTGTTTATGTGGATGAACAACACTGGATTTTTGTTTCTGTCAGTTCAACATCTTTCACTATGGACACTAAAAATTATCTTGAACAAATCGAGGCCTAGATCCTCAGTCAGCATTTAACATAAAGCAGCACGCTTTATCCTTTTAAACCAAGGGTTTGGTGTTCTACTACACACCAAATTACTATCTGACCTTCATACCTCTCACTTTCCTAGAAGTAAGGTATAACCCACAAGTTGTAATACTGCAGTATTACATACAACACACTTTCTTCCTGCATAAGAAAATACTACCCAGCAATATAGTAATCACAGTCTTTCTATCATACTTATTTGCTTTCCAAGTCCAATTCCGCTTGTCTTTTGACAAGCTGATATGAAGGAAAAGCCACATGTTCATTATCAAAGCAGCTCTTACGAGAACTCTGTAATTAAAAAATAAATTGTTTCTATGAAATATGTTGTTACAAACAAGGATTTTTTTTCTCTCAGTTAGCTCAATATAACTCAGTTTCTGAACTGCATCTGACATTAACATTTAGTCATTAGTAATAAAAATCCAAACCCACAAGTATTAGATATTCAATGAGTAGCTGAACTAGTGGCTGTAAGCATATTCTTATCTGTGTTCACAGTTAGAAGTATGCCATATTTGAACTCCATTGAGGTAAAAGGAATTTTTTCTGGAAGAGAATTTTCAAGCGGGATAAGAGAAAGATTTGTTTTCACAAAAAAGAATAGATTTCTAATACATTTACAGTTAACTATGTGATGCTGTTTCTTAAAGGTTCTGTGCAGATGGATTTTAAGTGTAAAGAAAAATTATCGGAAAAATGTTGCTTATCACAATTGGAGACATGCCTTTAATACAGCACAGTGCATGTTTGCGGCTTTAAAATCTGGTAAAATTCAGGTATGTTTGCTGTTTCTACATTTAAAATCTTCTGGCTAAGCAAATTCTGTAATGCTGCATAGTTGGTATGTCAGTAACATGTTCATCATTCTGCAATACTGCAAGGAAATCAAAATAATTCTGTTGGAGACTTCTGGCTTTAAGTGCTTGGTGTGTGAAATTGTTGTCATGTTAAGTACCCAGTTTCAGTTAAAACATCTGGAAATGATCAGACAGATGTTCCCAATGGGAATATCTCAAATAAGGCACATACTTATGTTTTTTTCTAAAGTTAATGCTTATGCTACAAGCAAGTCAAAAAGGTGGAGAAGAAAAGAACCCTATTTCAGGATATTTCCTTATAATATTAAACTGAAATGTTTTTAAGTTCAAACAAAGAGCTGAGTACAGCTCTAGACAAACAACAGAACAATAGAAATTTTTTTGAAGTAAAGATTTAAATGCTCATTTCAATGCCTTTGAACAGCGTTTCAACCTTCTGCTTAAAAGACACATAATAATTTCAAAACCAACCTAATAATTCTTTCTACAAATAGTGAAGGGCTAGATGATTCCCAAAATAAGAAAAATACTAATTCAAGATTTTTCCAGAATATGTTTTTACGTTTTGTTTTTAATTCTTGAAGAAGAAAAAATCTTTCTATTCATTCTGAATTAGTGTTTCTTCAGTTTGATTACAGACAGCTGTTATTAGTGGGTTTATACTCTTTTACAGTAAGCACTTTTGAGAGAATAAATACTATTTGTAGACCAAAACCCAATACCAATAAAGAAGAGGCATTCCCTTCCTCTACAAAACAAAAAAAAAAGATACAAAAGGGGCTGGAAGAGACAAAATCTTCACCTATTCCTTCTATACTGAAATGGACTGAATGGAAATAGTTTTTGTGTGCAGTCTAGCAATCTCTGATGATCCTGGTAGCTTGCTTGCTAGTTTTGGAATCCTGTCAGTCTCCACTGCAATTTCCGTAAGTTGTTTTATTCCTAACTGCACTGGATTCACTCCACGCTGATTTTTCATGTCCTAGATTCTGGAGTCAGAAACAGCATTGAACATAAGTCAATTTTCTCTAGTTTGAGGGGAAAAGCAGGCACTGGGGGCACATCTTCCTAGGAGAAACATAAAATCTGTCATTTCCAAACTGATTTGCCTTTTGACTAGACTACATACAGGTTTCATTATCTAGAAAGCAGATGCAAATCCGTAGAAGTAGTAACTGCTTAAAGAAAATGTGGATTTGATTGTATGCAGGGTACAGCCCCCTGTGCTGTGCTGTCACAAGCTGTTCTCGAAGTTCCTCTTTTGGCTGTTATGCTGCTGTTCTTGTTTCATTACAAAATGCTGCATGCATTGTGTAGCTTTGCCCAGCTTCTCTTTCTCACTGGACAGATTTAAATAAATTTTCTATAAAATTCTATTGAATATTAAAGATACTAAATAGTCACAGAAGATAAACTGTAACCTCTCCGCTAATCCTTCTTGGAGCGCCAGAGTAAACTCTTTAATAATGAGTGAGAGATTTAATTTTGTTTTCCATGGGTTTTAAACTTCTGTTAATTTATTTGCTCAGTGATCAATGAAAAGTGTGACATTTTTCCCTTCTGCTTATTCCAAGTACATATCTGTAATGAATTTTTATACCTATTTAGGGAATGTAGCCTAATTCCCTTGAGGTAATAGAGGCGCTGAGCTAAAAGTCATGGGGCCAGAGTGAAAAAAAAAGAAAATCCTGATGCTGTCTCCTTGCTGCCAGGTGGCATTATGCAAGTCATTTCTTCTGTATCAGTTTCCTCATCAGCGTATATAGGGCTAGAGGATGTTCCCTGTGAAAAGTGCATTGAGGCCTGTGGAGCAACTTCAGAGATAACTCCTCATTCTCAGCATATCATTTTATGTCCTTGTCCTCTTTGGAACACAACTGTATCTGCTATGTGGATAAAGACAAGATAGCAGATATAAAACACAGTGTTCAGAATAAATTCCTATCACAAAGCTAACTCACTTCTTGTATTACTCTTTTATGTATAGAGCAAACTGACTGACTTAGAAACACTGGCTTTGCTGATAGCAACTCTAAGCCATGATTTGGATCACAGGGGAGTGAACAACTCTTACATACAAAGGTAAGTAAGTCTGAGAGAAGTTAAATAGAAACAAATTAATACCAAAATCACAGAGCTAAATTAAGTACAGCCTAATTGATGTGAAGCTGTGCAAAGCAGTGGGTTTGTACAAAGCAGTAAGTGCAAGAACGGCCAGAAACATTCAAGGAGTCCAAGGCAAAGACACACAACCTGTTCCTGACTAACTGCGATGGCAGATGAAGTGAACTCTTTGTAGACTGTGCAGGGGCAGCATCTTCCTGCTCCTGTTCCACATGTCCCATCCCCCATTTCCCATACAGTGACAGCAAAAGGTCCCTGCTTCTAAAGGATGGCAGCTTTCCAGACTGCTCACTGCACAACCAGCTGTTTCCCCATCTACTCTGGGCCAGCACAGAGCTGAGACCAGCAGCCATCTGATACAAAGATGTCTTCATACCAGTTTGAACTCTGATTGGTCTACGCATGATTTAGCCATTTTTTTCCAGAGTTCTAAGTTGATTTGGGTAAGATACATATTTCAAATCACATCAGAAATGTATGACTATTTTGCATTTATTTTGAAAAAAATAAAAAATTAACTTTGATCAATTTTGGAATTACAGAAAAGCTTTTACAAAGCAAAAAGTCAAACTATGTTTTAAAACCTCAAAACAAAATATTTTTACTGAACAAAATATTTTGCTTTGAAGTTATCAAAAAGCATCTGAACTCTTCTGAAATTTTCTCCATATTTTAATTTTTAACTAAAAATATTTTGTTAGAATTTATTAATAGTTTAAGATCTGCCCAAAACATGCTTTTCAGTGGATCTAGTATTCACTTCAAATAACAGTATATGATTCTTCAATTAAATAAATAGCTTGACTTATGGTATATAATATGATTACTGTGATATGGCAATGTGTCCTGATCTGACCAGAGATGAGGAAAAGACACCCAGAAACATATACTTGTATCTTTTTCTGGCAGAGCTGGAGAGTGGTTTTGCAGCTACCTTTGGAAGAAGTGGTCTGCTGTTCTTGCTGTGTGTAAAGTAAGATATTAGAGGAGGAAAACTTTGTTTGAGGCAGAGAATACTGAAAGGCAGAAAATAAGTAAGCTGAAGCAGAATTCCTGCCTTTCAGATATATGTTCAGAATAACTCTAAGACTAATGTGTAAAGCAAAAAGACCCCAACCCCAAAACCCCACAAAATTGAAAGAGTAACCTTTTTCTAGTCCCCTAATAGGGGATTCCAGCAGTAACTGTAGCCTTGCAGTGATTGGAACCCGTTTAGCTATTTTTTGCTTTATTTATTTAAAAATAAATTTCCTGGAAGACATCTGGAGATGCGTCATCTCCTCTCAAAAATGTCCTGGGAAAGTGTCATAGACAGCAAAATCTAGCATTCACGTATGCTCTAAAGCTGAGAGGATTACAGCTTAATGATACTTTTTCAGTAAAAAAGTTCCACAAATCTTGTTTTTAAATTCCTCATTTAAATCTAAATGAAAAGTGGTTTTTTTTCCAGGAATGGATGCCTTTTGTTTCTTCCCTGGAAGCAGGGAAAATGGATACTTAGCATATGATTCTTTTCTTAAGCAACAGGGTTTCAAACATCCTGATAGTAGAAATTAGAGGAAGTGAACTGTTCAAAGGTCTTTTGGTAGATATGCAGCGGTTTTGTTTTCTTTTTCTTCCAAACCCACACATAAAGTAGGCAAGCACAGAGTATGAAAACTGCATAACCAAACCACTGTGTCCAGCAAGCAGTGATGTCCTTTGGCCTGGCATGGTGGTTTAACAGAAATTCTATGCACTACAGAAGTAGGATCTGAGTTTATTTTCAGCACTTGTGTCTTCCCAGACAGTCAGGGTCTGTAAGTACTGAGCAAGCTCTAGTTTGGTGCAGTACTTGGGAATATAACCCAAGATATTTCTCACGTATTTCTGTCTTCAGTCAGGATGAACTTCAGGGGACACAGTATGCATCCCATTTAACTCAATGGGAATTTCACCCAGCATGTGTTGGCACCATCCTACAAATTGTTTCCTTACAGAAACACGCAAGCATATTTACTCTATGCTCCCTTTGCAGCGGTCTCAGAGGAGGTGCTGGGCAGCAAGCCCATAATTCTCAGGAGATTGCATCCTTTAATCTCCCTTTCTGTGTTTTTGTTTGTCTTTCCATCTTTCTCTCCACATTTCTGTGCTTCTTAAATCCCCGAAGTCTCCTCTTACGATTCTCATTTCAGTCTCCATGTGCACTCACTTACAGAGGGACCCCTAATGCAACCACTAATTCCTCTGGACAATCCTTAACCAGACAAAAAGTCTCATGGAACTGTATGCTAAAAAAGAACTTCTTACATGATTAAACCTTTGCAGGTCAGATTATAATTAAAGTAATATATTCAGGATCAGCAACAAAACAGACTTGCAAGAGAATCCCAATTTAGTTAAAGAGGCGAGATAAGCAACGTGAGACCAGAGCCTAAAAATGAAGATACAATCTAAGAACCGTATTATGCAATGAGGAACAGGGTGAAATTAGAAATCCTCAGAGAGGAGGAGTTTCTGTATTTTGTCTAAAGCTACTTAAACTGTAAATTCTATTTTCTAGACTAAGATAACTTTAAATTCTGCATCCGCACAGTTGGTTTCATGGTGTTTTTCATTGCCTGTAGTACAACCAACATCTTGTTTCCCTTTTGGATTTTGCCCTGGGCAAAGGAAAGGTAACGATATTGCAGTAGTTTGGTCAGGAGGAGAGTGGTGATGCATGAAGTACCAATACGGTTCCTAACAGTGGGAAATTACTTGATCAACGTTTTGGGCCCTGCCCCAGAGTCCA